TTGAGGACCCTTGGTCCCCAAGCAGACCCCGGTCTGCAGGGTCCTGTACCGGTTGCCTAAAGCTGAATACCTCCCGCTTGTCCCTGGGGTGTTGAGAGTGGGGGGGAGTGAGGACAGCCAAGGCTGCAGGGAGGAGGCAGGGGCGGGGTCCTAGCCGCTGGGCGGGCCAAGTTGGGAGATCCAGGTTAGGCCCGGCCGGAGGACAGGGGCTAGGGCTGGCAGCGTTCTGAAAAGGAGGTGGGGGCGGGGTCTGGCCCCCGCCTGCGGGCTGGGGGGCCGGGGACGGGGCGGGGCGGGGCGGGCCCGGTGCTGACTTCCTAGGGGAGGGTTGAGGCCGCCCTCCCACTCGCCCACACAGTCGGTCTGCAGCCGGCGGCCTCGCTGGCAGCTCTCCCGGCCCCGGCTCTGCCCGGCCAGCAGGTAGGAGCGGCCGAGGGACGCGGCGCCCGCTTCCCGGCCCACCGCGCCGCGTGCGCCCCGCTCCTGCCGCCCTCTTCGAGGTGAGCGCCCAGCCGACCGCAGCTTGGAGCCCCGGCCACCCAGCCCCGGGCGCGGGCGGGAGAGCGCGGGGAGCCCGCGGAGGGCAGCCCCCGCCCCCTGTCCCCGCCGGTGCGCGCTGAGCCCCGGAGAGCGCCCACTCGCGCCGCCGGGTCTGCCCAGCTGGGCAGGGGCCACCGCGAGAGGTGGGCGGGGGAGGGCAAGTTTGAAATAGAAAAGCCAGAGAGACAGATCGGGAGGGCTGGAGAAACTGAGGTTCTCAGAAGCCGGGTGAAATGAGAGCCGAGACAGGCGGGGACACGAACGACAGGAGGCTGTCGAGATCACTGAAACAAGGACAGACTGGGCATACAGAATTACCCAGCTCATGGAGGCATAGGGGCCGACTCAGGCTTTGTGGAGCATTTTCAGAAAAACCAACGTATAACCCTAGTGAAGACATTGCTGGGGCCCTTCCCAGCTCTTTGAAGGGTCCCTGAAGCTTGAGCTTCATTAGCCTCGTGCTCAATGTGCCTCTCGGAGCTCTACAGAGACATTCAGAGATGAGAGACAGAGACACTCAGCCACGCAGAGATGCTAAGAGAGTTGGCTGCAGAGACAGAGAAATTCGGGTGGGAGGATGGTCTCAGACATTCAGCAGTATGGAGACACTGAGAGACCAAGAGTTGGCTACTGAGCTGGAGACCTACAGAGGCCCCACGGGGAGATAGGGAGTCAGAGATACAGAGCCGCCCAAAACCCAAGACAGCAGCAGAAGTGTCCCTGGCCACAGAGGGGTTGAGGGGAGCAGAGCTAGATGCTGAGACTTCATGGAGGCGCCAATATCTAGGTGGGCTGACAACTTCCAAGACAGATTCTGAGAGACCCAGGCCTGAAACTTTGGGAAGCAAAGCTGTGAGGAAACAGAAACTCTGAACTAACTGATCCCCCATGAGGCAGAGGACTTGAGACAGTAAGATCTATCTAGATCAAGAAGAAGTCCCTTGTGCATACACAGCCATTGAGACAGCATCAACTTATTTTTAAACTCAGATCTTGGACATGCTGCCTTAGCCCTGAGGGACCCAGGGTGAATGAACTGTTCCTCTCCTGTCCCCAGAGCAGCTGCCTGTCCTGCTTCCCACCCCGTTTTCCCTAAGCTGTGCTGACTTCCGGGGGGGCCAGGGGGTGGGAGAGAGCACAGAGTTTGGGGCTGGTGCTTAGTAACACAGGATGAGGGTGGGGGTAGTTCAGTTTCTCCCCTTAAGTCTCCTGTCAACTCCTGGGAGGTGGGGGAGGGGTCTGTTCTGATCCTGACTCACAGCTGTGGGGGCCTGGCCAGGGTCCTCCTAGACAGTAGGGAGTGTTGGGGGGTGGCAGAAGGGTGGAATGGCTGGCTGGAGTAACTGGAAAGCTTCTGGATGTCTTCCAGTCCCAGGGCCAGCAGCTGGGGAGAAGAGCCAGGCCAGTGCCCCTCTTGTCCCCCTGCCTTTAGCTGAACAACCCCTCCATCAGCATGGCAGCATTTCTGGGAGAGGAAAGACCTCCTGGCTGGGAGGCAGGGGACCTGAGCTCTGGTACCTGAGTGACCTTGGGCATGCCCCTGCCCTATCCTTAGCCTCCTTGTGCTCATCTGTAAAATGGGGCAGTACTCTAGCCTGCCTGCCTTTTATGAGAGCTAATGAGGTCGTAAGAATGTACTTTGTGAAGGGCCAATCAGCATGCAGGTATATATACCTGTGGACATGTGCCATGGTCTCAGAGCTATGCTCACTAGAGGCTGACTAGGCCAGAGCAACCACTGGCCCCAGTGGTCTTTGTAGTGAGTCCCAGAGGCCTGGGGTATCCTATTCTCTCCCTGGGCCTATACTGAGAATGTCCAGGTCAAGTGCCAGGCCAGCTCCCTAACCTGGGAGAGCCTGCCAGAGAAACTGCTGTTTGACCTCCAGAAGGAGTAAGGAGCAGAGAGAGAAAATAATAACAGCTACTATTATCCACCAGGTGCTTTCCAAGTATCATCACATTTAAGCCTGACTATAATTCTAGGGGGTAGGAAGTAGTAGTATTCCATTTAATTAGTTGGAAAAACAGGCTCAGGGAGCTTAAGTGACTGCCCAAGGTCACCCAGCTACTAAGTAAAAGAGCTGGGATTCAACCCCAGATTTATATTTCACAGCACAAGCCTCTACACATCACACGCTCAGCCATCCTGAGCTCCAGGAGGTTCACTGGGAGGTGCCTTATCAGGAAGGGGACAGGACCAGAGAGCCATCTACAGACTGAGTAGTCTCTCCCAAACTCTGTCTGCCAGCCAGGGAGGAATACAAGGTTGGCTTCTCCAGGGAACAGAGGAGGAAGAGGGGGAGGGAAGGATGGGCAGAGACAGGTGGGCCTTGATGGTGTCCTTTACTCTGTCCTCCCCAGAGCCCAGCTGGAGAGACTAAGACGTAGGGTGATTCTGGGAAAGAAATAGAAGCCACACCCATACCCTATTTGGGGTGCCCCGTCACAGAGTGGTGACTGCCTCCCTGGGGTTGGACCCAGGGCTAGCCCGGGGCTGGGAAGGAGACATGGCAGCTGTAAGCCAAGCCAGAAAGGAAGGGAAAGTTCCTGGGCAGCCCCAGATGGACACATTCCACCTGTGAGGCCCCCTGCTGCCCGGTGGCTGACAGCCCAGGCTAACGTCAGATGTTAGGCCAGAGGAAACCTGGGCCTGTGTGGTGGGGGAACTGAGAAGGAAGAGTATCCTCCACCCTACAGCATAGCTTCCACCCCCAGGAGTCTTGGCTGTAAAGACCCCAGTATCTGGTAGTTTCATGCCCAGTCCAGGGTGCAAGCTAGGTGTTCTCCCTTTGTACTGAATGGTAGCTGTGAATTCACCAGCAGTGCCTCTGAAAAGCCAGGCCAGGCTAGGCTAAGGGCATCTACTGGTGCCCACAGTCTGAATTTCAAGTCAGAGAATGCTTGTTCAGAATTTCTTACTGGGGGTGGCTGAGAAAGGAAGACTTTTCCTTCAGCTTAAGCCAGGGCAGGCTCTGGGGAACTGCCAGTCACTGGGATCTAATTGGGAGTGGCTTGGTGGGGTTTTCTATGTCCCTTTAAGTCCCCCAGCTCATCTGCAGCTGTGAGGACATCCCTTTCCAATGAAGCCTGGTGGTTCCTATCCACCACCCCACAGGGTCTCAGCCCCTGGAGAGCTGGCTTCATGGTGGAGGACACAGGGTTGGGGAGCTCTGGCTTTGGGACTAGAGACTGAACCAGGGCAGCCGAAAGGTCTGGGAACCCCACTTCCCTGCTGCCCGGCTCCCTAGGCTCCTGTTCCAGAGGCAGCTGTGTGGATGACCTCATCCCACAAACATGCTTTGTTCCTGAGAAAATGGAAAGTGTCTGAGGTTTGGTGGGGGGCTGGGTGTCTGCCTAAGCAGCTTTCAGGGCTCCCCTCTGTGTCATTCCCCACCCAAGAGGGGGCCTGATTGGGGAGAAAATGTCTTCCGTGGCTCTTACTCTCTCCTTTCACTTCTTGGGTCCCAAACCCTAAGAAATCAGAAAAGGTGGGGAGAGGCTGTCTCTTTCCAAGGCAGGGGTGGGAAATAATAACCCCAGGATGGGGATGGAAGTATCCTGAGGCTTTGCCAGGAGTGAGAGTGATGCCTGGCAGGGGGTGACAGGGGCCACTCTGCACTCTCTCAGTTCCCCTTTGCCTCCTGGGGCATCTCATTTTCCTTTTTTCTCCCCTGTTGCTGGCAAAACCTGACATCTGGCCATCTGTGCTGCCACAGCTGCTGCAGATGTTGCAGGCCAAGGCTACCCAGTCTGGTGTGACCAGAGACACAGCAGGGGTGGAGGGGGATGAGGGGAGAGGATCCAGCTAGGAAAGCTTGGCTGTGTCCAGCATGCAGGATTTCCTTCCTGCTTGCTTAAACCTAGCCTGAGTCTCCAAAGTTCTTGTCACTTGGCTGCTTCTCCTGGGAGGGGAGGCCCCACTTCTCACACTGGTCTCTTCTACCATTCATCGGCCCAGCATCTCCCTAGCATTCCACTGTTTCCTGGATCAGGAGGGGACAGGAACAGCCCATTCCCATTCCAGAGCTCTGGGTAAAGGTTCCTTCATCCATATCTCTTGGGTCTGTTCCTGGGAGTCAGGAGAGTACTGATGACAGGGTATAGGATGGTGCTTCTGCCACCCTGGGGACACTAGGAACAGGGGAGGCTAACCTCAGAAACTCAGAGGCAGGAAATGAGTCATTGACCCAGGAAAAGCCCCCTCCCCCTAGATCTGCCAGGGCCTAGATAAGAAAACAACTTCTGCTTCCTGATTTTTTCCTGACCCCTTCCTACTCCCTAAGTTAAATACAGAAATAAACATGCAGGACTCTTGGGTTCCCAGAAGCACCCCTTCCCCTTCCCCTTCCCCACCTGTTCTTATCTGCCATTTTCCATGCCTGCTCTCTTGCCAACAGTCAAGCCACAGCCCCTTGGGGTGACCCCTGTCCCACCTGTGCTCCTAACAGGGCCCCTCCGCATCGTCATGAGTGAGGCATTTGACTGTGCAAAATGCAGTGAGACCCTATATGGCCGGAAGTACATCCAGACAGACAGTGGTCCCTACTGCGTGCCCTGCTATGACAACACCTTCGCCAACACCTGCGCTGAGTGCCAGCAGCTGATTGGGCATGATTCAAGGGTACGAATGGGAGCAAGCAGGGCAGGGAGTGGGCAGAGGCTGGCAGGAGGGAACATAGCATGGACCCACCAGGCCCTGATGCCAGTGCCCCTGCCATACGCCCCCATAGGAGCTGTTCTATGAAGACCGCCACTTCCACGAGGGTTGTTTCCGCTGCTGTCGCTGCCAGCGCTCTCTAGCCGATGAACCCTTCACTTGCCAGGACAGTGAGCTGCTCTGCAATGACTGCTACTGCAGTGCCTTCTCATCACAGTGCTCCGCCTGCGGGGAGACCGTCATGCCTGGTACATCCCCAGGGGCTCATCCTGGGTGGGGACTGGCCTGCCTGACATCAGTGTGGAGTCCTTGCATGTGCCTGATACATGGAGACTCAGTATGTGTGAAGACCTGCACATATGGCTGGGCTCGGTGGCTCATGCCTATAACCCTATCACACTGGGAGGCCAAGACGGGTGGATTGCTTGAGCTTAGAAGTTCGAGACCAGCCTGAGCAAGAGTGAGACTCCCATCTCTAAAACTAGCCAGGCGTTGTGGCAGGTGCCTGTAGTCCCAGCTACTTGTGAGGCTGAGGCAAGAAGATTGCTCAAGCCTAAGAGTTTGAGGTTGCTGTGGGCTATGACACCACAGCACTCAACCCCAGGATAACTGAGTGAGACTCTGTCTCCAAAAGAAAAAAAAAAAAAAGACATACACAGATGGCATGTTCCTGGCAATTTAGTGTATGCAAAATCTGTTTTGCCTATGTGCTCTTAAGTTAGCATTCACAGGGATGCTATTGGCACACCCAGGTATACACATGAAGGCTTAGTGTGTGCAGAAGTTAACAAGTTTGATACATTTCTGAGAGCTTAGTGTGTGCTGCACTAGTAGGCCTGGTGGACACATGGGGACTTAGCATGCATGAATATCTGCATGTAGGGTACATGTAGGAGCTAAGGTAGTGCTGAGACTGTCATGCTTGGTGCCTTGGGGTTTAGTGTGTGCAGAGACAGAGGGTTTGACATGTGTGGAGACCTGCATGCCTAATAGAAATGTGAGGACTTAGCACACATGTAGAATAGCATGCCTAGCAGGTGCAAGGGCTCAGCTTGCACTGCAGCTGTCACGCTCAGGCATTAGAACTTTGTATGGGCAGAGGCCTGCTTGCCTGGTATATGTGGGGTCTTGTGAGTGTGCTAAAACCCTCGTGTCTGGTGTATAAGGGCTTAGTATATACTAAGACATCATGACTATCACATGGAGGCTTGATGCATGTTTGGAGAGAGATTAGCATTTGTAATTTAGTTGGTAGGGGTCTTGATGCATGTGCATGGACACCACCCTGCTCAGGCTATGAACAATGGGGACTTTCCTGCAGAAGTAACAGGTGGCCCACAGGAGCTTGTGACATGGCATCTGAGTGGGACCCCTGTTCCCCACAGGGTCCCGGAAGCTGGAATATGGAGGCCAGACGTGGCATGAGCACTGCTTCCTGTGCAGTGGCTGTGATCAGCCACTGGGCTCCCGTTCTTTTGTGCCCGACAAGGGTGCTCACTACTGCGTGCCCTGCTATGAGAACAAGTTTGCTCCTCGCTGTGCCCGCTGCAGCAAGGTGGAGGCTCGGCCAGCGGGGTTGGGGTAAGGCCTATTGTCGGGTGGGAATCCCCACTGACCCCTGCTGATGGATGCTGCCCCCACAGACACTGACACAGGGTGGAGTGACATACCGTGACCAGCCCTGGCATCGCGAATGTCTGGTCTGCACTGGGTGCCAGACACCCCTAGCTGGACAGCAGTTCACCTCCCGGGAAGAAGATCCCTACTGTGTGACCTGTTTTGGAGAACTCTTTGCACCTAAGTGCAGCAGCTGCAAACGCCCCATCGTAGGTGGGACAAGGGTCAAAAAATGGAATGGGCAGGGTGCAGGCAAGGGAGTGGGATATATTGGGTAAGGGGTAAGCCCACCCTCAGATCTGCAGAGCTAACCTCCGGCCTCCCTCTAGGACTTGATGGAGGAAAGTATGTGTCATTTGAAGACCGACACTGGCACCACAGCTGCTTCTCCTGCGCCCGCTGTGCCACGTCCCTGGTGGGCCAAGGCTTCGTGCCAGATGGAGACCAAGTGCTGTGCCAGGGCTGCAGCCAGGCAGGGCCCTGAGCCAGGGCTCCTGGGCCCAGGCTTTCCCACACCGGGGCTCCAGGACTATGATTCCTTTCCTAAACCACCACAGGGACCCAGCTTCTCCACACAGTGGGTCTCCTCCTGGGCTCCAAGATGCAATTTCCCTACTCTAACATCCTCCAACTGGTACTCCCTGACCCAGGCCCCAAAACCTAGGCTCTTCTGGAGTGTCCATGACTCAAGTCCTTTTCCCAAACATGGACTCCAGAACTCTGCCCTCTTCCCAGATTGGAGCTCTAGACCCCAGCCCTCCAAACCTAGACTCTGGGACCTGGGCCCCCTTACATCTAGCCTTCTCTTAATAGATTTTAGGTGTCCTAAGAGTGCCTGAGCAGCCCTCATATGTGGACGGCTCAGGCTTGAACCTATCCCCATTGCACCCTGCCCCCAGGACTGGGACTGTTTGAGCAGCAGGTTAGGTGGTCTTAAGGAATAGGCTGTAACCCAGCCCGTGTTCTCAGAGTGTCTTGTTTTATTTCAGCTCCATTTTGCCTTGAGATGGGCAGAGGGGTGTGATTGGTTTGCCCCTCTTCCAAATTCTGAAATAAAGCAGTGTGAGGAAGCCCAGGCCTCTGTGTGTTCGTCCAGGGTGCAGAGGGGGAAGGAAGGTTCCTTCACAGACAGGGAGATTCTGAGTCTTTTCTAGACCTCCTCCCTGCAGGGCGGGGTGAAGTGGGGCTGTCCACTGGGTGGGAAGTCCATCTCCAGGAAGGGGATCCCCGCCACGGCTACTGTCCTACTGGCTACTGTCCTACTGTCTGTATCAAGCTTGGCCTGCCTTGCTCTACTGGCGTAGGGCTTTTTCCTTCGCGTGGGGAAGGGAGAGTTTTAGGGGAGGTTCCAGACAGGAGCAGGGGTGACCATGGGGTTCCTTCGTCTGGAATAAATCTACGTATCTCACCCTCCCCTAGCAGCCCTGTCTGAATCCCGCAGAGCAACCACCCGTTCTGATCTCAATTTGGGCCCAGACCCTTAGCCCCCTTCCCCCTCTTCCCCAGGATTAGCGGGGGCGGCCCGGGATCCGCTCGCGGCCGCACGTTTTTTGCCAAAAAAGGCAAGGATGCAGCTGCACGCGCCGCGGGAACATCTGGATCCGATTCCCGGCATGAATGGGTCACGGCCCCGCCCCCCCCCGTGATTCAAGGGCGGGGGCGGGAATGAGGGGGGCTGTCTCCCAAAGTGGGGAGATGGGGCGGGGCGATGCTCCCCTCTCTCCGCGTCCGACGGCCCCTGCCCCTTCCCGTCGTGGCTGCGGTCTGAACCCCGCGGTCTGGCTGACGAGGGTCGGGCTGGCGGAGCAGGTACGTGCGCGCTGGCGCACGGGGCCTCCCGCGGCCGGGCGGGCAGGCGGACGGACCCTCGGCGCCCGGGGGGGGAGGGGCCCCTGGGCCCGCGGAAACCGCGTGATTATATGTATCTCATGTTAAACCCGCCCCGAAATTCTTGGGGCAGGCATTTTTACTGCCGTGACCCAGAGGTGCAAGATTCCCATAGTTGCCCAGAGTCGCATAGGTAGTCTCTCTCTAGTAGATCAGGTATTACAATCCTCTTTCTATGAACCCCCCTCCCAGGCCCAATTTTAGTCCTAAACTTTCAGAAGCCGTGATTAACGTTTTCAGCAAACCTTTAAAACTGCCCATCATATGTGCTTATAAATAATAATTACCGCAGATGCTTACGTTTCTGTTTGTTTCGCCCATCGGCCTCACTGGGCATTGAGCTGGCTCCTGCCTTGCTCACCCCTCCCTCTCAGCTCCAGGCACTTACTACGTGTTCAATAAATGCTTGTTGAGGAAGAGCAATCCAAGCATAGGAAACAGCTGGTTCAAAGGCCTGGGGCCTGAAAACACATGGTGCTTGGAGAAAGCATCAAGTAATGTCACGTGGAGGAAGTGCCAAGAGACTAACATGGCGGGTAGCGCCCAGGTGGTGGGCAAAGCAGTCAGTGGAAATACTGAAGTAGGGGCGTAAAAAGAGCCGAGTTTTAGAAAGATCACATTAGCTGTGCATGATGGGTTAGAGCGGGTAAGACTAGCCAGGCTGGTTAGGAGGCAAGAGCAGTGGTCCAGATAAGCTAATCAAGAGGCTAGCAGCAAAGGCGGGACTTGCTAGAGGGAGGAAGGAGAAGCTTTTAGGGAAAGGAAGCCTTCAGGTTTGAGGCATAGTGACCAGAGGAATGGTGTTGAACGGGGCGTGGTGTTTCACTTTGCAATCTAGCACTACTACAGGAGGCAGGTGGATTGCTTGAGTTCAGAAGTTCAAGGCCAGCCTGAGCAAAAGCGTGATACCCTCCCTCCCACCTCGGTCTCTACTAAAAATAGGAGGGCACAGTGGCTCACTCTGGGAGGCCAAGGCAGGTGGATTGCCTGAGCTCACAGGTTCAACCAGCCTGAGCAAGAGCAAGACCCCCATCTCTAAAAATAGCTGGTCATGTGCTCGATTCCACAACACCTATACTCAAATTGGAATGATACAGAGAAAATTAGCATTGACCCTGCGCAAGGATGACACGCAAATTCGTGACCCAAAACAAAACAAACAAAAACAGCCGGGTGTTGTGGCAGGCGCCTGTAGTCCCAGCTATGCAGGAGGCTGAGGCAAGAGGATCACTTGAACACAAGAGTTTGAGGTTGCTGTGAGCTATGATGTCAGGCTATGACGCTTTAGCCAAGGCAACAGAGTGAGACTCTCTCTCAAAAAAAAAAAAAAAAAATTGGTCTTAGTAAGGTGGTGTAACCACCTAAGAAGAGGAAATGTACAGCAACAACACTGTTTCACTTATTTCAACATAAACATTTTTCAGACTTAACATCTCAGAAACCCAGATGTATGGTTGAAGGTACATCATAGTTTATTAATATTTTTTTTCTCTTTCTTGATAAAGCATAAAATAATGGCGAATTTTACAATTGTTGGCATCTCATATTTGGTGAAATATAGAATACAGGAGCTCCCAAACCTTACCAAAGCAGACAGACAAGAAAACATTCACTCACTCAGTGTCTCCTTTCCCGAGTGAAGGTATTTTTTGCCGAGGGTTCTTTCTGTTTATTTTTTGTTTTTGTTGTTGTTCCAGATAGGGTCTGACTTTGTCACTCAGGCCAGGATTTTTATAGGCACGAGCTATGATGCTGGGCAAGATTTCTTGTCTCTTTCCTAGTGGCCGAGCAAAAGCCTCACATGAATTGTGACTAGGGTCCTTCCCCATCGGTTAGAGGTCTTGCTTAAGTTTCCATATATAAATGTAATCCTCCTAACACCCCCTGAAGTAGGCAAAACGTGGTCATTTTATCCCCATTTTATTTTTTTCTTTTCTTTCTTCCTTTTTTTTTTTTGTTACCCTCTGTGGAGTGTTGTAATATCATAGCTCACAGCAACCTCAATTTCTTGGGCTCAAGTGAGATTCTCTTGCCTCAACTTCCCTGGTAGCTGGGACAACAGGGACCCACCACAAGGCCCAGCTATTTGTTTGTTGTTGTTGTTTGTTTGTTTCTTATTCTTTTTATTAAATGATAGTTGTGTTCATTAATGTAATCATGGGGTACAGTGTGGTGTTTTCATATACAATTTGAAATATTTTCATCAAACTGGTTAACATAGCCTTTATGTCATTTTCTTAGTTATTGTGTTAAGACATTTATATTCTACTCTTAGAAAGATTCACTTGTACCCTTGTAAGATAAACCATAGAAATGATCCCTTCAATCACCCTCCCTCCCTCCTCTCCCCCTCCCCACTCCGCATAGTCTTAGGCTATAATTAGGTTATAGCTTTCATATGAAAGCTATAAATTAGTTTCATAATAGGGCTGTGTACATTGGATACCTTTTCTTCCATTCTTGTGATACTTAGCAAAGAAGAACATTTTCCAGCTCCATGTTTGTTTGTTTCTTTTCTTTCTTTTTTTTTTTTTTTAAATATGGAACGCTTCACGAATTTGCGTGTCATCCTTGCACAGGGGCCATGCTAATCTTCTCTGTATCGTTCCAATTTTAGTATATGTGCTGCCGAAGCAAGCACGTTTGTTTGTTTCTTTAGCAGGCCCAGGCCGGGTTCAAACCCACCAGCCCTGCTGTATGTGACTGGCATCCTAACCGCTGAGCTACCCTCCATTTTATTTCTTAAACCATTTTTTTTTTTGAGACAGGATCTGGCTCTGTCACCAGGGATAGAGTGCAGTTACATCATCATAGCTCACTGCAACCTCAAATTCCTGGGCTCAAGCAATCCTCCTGCCTCAGCCTCCTGAGTAGCTAGGACTCAGGCACATACCACCATATCTGACTAATTTTTCTTTCTTTCTTTCTTTCTTTTTTTTTTAAGGCCAGGAGGCAGGTAGGCAAGGAGCATAGTCCATAGAACATCCCTACCTTCTCCTCCAGCAGCCCCTTTGGCAATTTTGCTTATCTTTTGTATAATGGAAAATGCTCTTGCTCTTGCTCAGGCTGGTCTGGAACTCCAGGCCTCAAGCAATTCTCCTATCTCAGCCTCCCAGGGAGCTAGGATTATAGGTATCAGCCACAGAGCCTGAACTATTTTTCAAGCGTTTAAAAACAAACGTAATAAATGTAATGTAATAACATAACAAAAGTGATACATATACATTTGTAGAAGAAATTGGAAAATTCCAAATAGTAAAGAACAAAAGATAAATGACTATTAACTCCTTGAAGTATATCTTCCTTGTTCTTATTTCGTTTGTTTGTTTTTTAGAGACAGAGTCACATTTTGTCACCCTCGGTAGAGTGATGTGGCATCACATCACAGCAACCTCCAGCTCTTAGGCTTAGGCGATTCCCCAAGTACCTGGGACTACAGGTACCTGCCTCACCGCCCAGCTATTTTTTTGTTGCAGTTTGGTTGGGGCTGGGTTTGAACCCACCACTTTCGGTATATGGGGCCGGCGCCCTGCTCACTGAACCACAGGCACTACCCTCTTCTTTGTTAAATATAAATGTGTATATATGCATTTTCAATTTTAGTTTGGAAAAAAAACCTTGGCTCGGCACCTGTGACTTAAGCAGCTAAGGTGCCAGCCACATACACCTGAGTTGGCGGGTTCGAATCCAGTCCAGGCCTGCCAAACAACAATGATGGCTGCAACCAAAAAATAGCCAGGCGTTGTGGTGGATGCCTGTGGTCCCAGCTACTTGGGAGGCGGAGGCAGGAGACTCTCTTGAGCCCAGGAATTGGAGGTTGCTGTGAGCTGTGACGCCATAGCACTCTACCCAGGGGGACAGCTTGAGGCTCTGACTCAAAAAAAAACAAAAAAAAACTTTTTTGAGACAGAGACTGTACCCAGGCTAGATTGCCATGGAGTCACCCTAGCTCACAGCAACCTCAAACTCCTGGTTCAAGTGATCTTCCTACCAAAGCCTCCCAAATAGCTGGAATTACGGGTGCTCAGCACAACTTCCATTTGATTTTCCTATTTTTAGTAGATACAAGATCTTGCTTTTGCTCAGGCTGGTCTCTCTCTCGTTTTTTTTTTTTTTTTTTTGAGACAGAGTCTCACTTTGTCACCCTCCATAGAGTGCTGTGGCGTCACAGCTCACAGCAACCTCAAACTCTTGGGCTGAAGTGATTCTCTTGCCTCAGCCTCTCAAGTAGCTGGGACTACAGGCGCCCACCACATCGCCCGGTTATTTTTGTTGTTGTTGTTGTTGTTGTTGTTGTCATTGTTGTTTTAGCAGGCCCAGGCCAGGTTCAAGCTTGCCAACCCTGGTGTATGTGGCCAGCACCCTAACTACTGAGCTACCAGTGCTGAGCCTCAGGCTGGTCTTTTCAGCCTAACGGATCCTCCCCCTTCAGGCTTCCAGAGTGCTAGGACAATAGGTGTGAGACACCGCAGTTGGTCTGAAATTTATTTTTAATTTTTTTTTTTGCAGTTTTTGGCCGGGGCTGGATTTGAACCCACCCCGCCACCTCTGGCATATGGAGCTGGCACCCTACTCCTTTGTGCCACAGGCGCCAACCATTAATATTATTTTTTTTAGAGACAGGATCTCACTTTGCCACACAGGCTGCTGTGCAATGGTACAATCATTGCTCAATGCAGCCTCCAACTCCCAGGCTCAAGGGATCCTCCTGCCCCAGCCTCCTGAGTAGCTAGAAGTAGCTAGGACTCAAACATGAGCAGCCACACCAGGTAATTTTTTTCTTTTTTAAATTTCAGAGTATTAGGGGGTATGCATATTTTGTTTCCATACTTTGTTTTTGTGCTAGACTTTTAAACATTTTTTTAGTAGAGATGGGCTATCACTATGTTGCTCAGGCTGGTCTTGAACTCTTGGCCTCAAGTGATCAATCGTCCTTCCTCAGCCTCCTGAAGTGGTGGGATTACAGACATGTGCCACCATGCTCAGCCTAAATTCATTTCTAAATTAAAATAGTAATACAAGTATATATTTTTAAAAGTTTTCATGCTATGCTTTGGGTATATGCAAAGAAAAATCTCCTTCTCATACCAAATCTTCAAGCTGTCTTCTCAGGAACAACCACTGTTTACTGTTACTTAGATATCCTTACAGAAACAATCTCTTTGCACATCTATTTTTATACACACTGTTGTGGATCTACCTTTTTTAGTTTGTGTGCCATCTTTCCATATGAGCTCATACAGATTTTTTAACAGTTTTATTGAGATATAATTTATATCCTCGGTGCCTGTGGCTTAAGTGGCTAAGGCGCCAGCCACATACACCTAAGGTGGCAGGTTTGAATCCAGCCCGGGCCCACCAAACTACAATGACGGCTGCAACCAAAAAATAGCCAGGAGTTGTGGTGGGCACCTGTGGTCCCAGCTACTTGAGAGGCTGAGGCAGGAGACTCGCTTGAGCCCAGGAGTTGGAGGTTGCTGTGAGCTGTGATGCCATGGCAGTCTACCCAGGGGGACAGCTTGAGGCTCTGTCTCAAAAAAAAAAAAAAAAAAAGAGATATAATTTACATACCATAAAATTCACCAACTTTAAAGTGTACAATAAATTTTAGCGTATTTAATAGAGTTGTGCAACTATCACCACAATCTGATTTTAGAACATTACTGTCACCTCAAAAGGGATTCCTTGTGCAAATTTGTAGTCACTTCCAACCTTACCTCTAGTCACAACCATTCATCCACTTTCTGGCGCCATAGATTTTTTTTTTCTCTTTTTTTAGAAACAGAATCTCATTTTATCACCCTTGGTAGAGTTCGGTGGTGGCACAGCTCACAGCAACCTCCAACTTTTGGGCTTAGGTGATTCTCTTGTCTCAGCCTCCTAAGTAGCTAGGACTACAGGCACCCGACACAACACCCAGCTAATTTTTTTTTTTTTTGAGACAGAGCCTCAAGCTGTCCCCCTGGGTAGAGTGCTATGGCATTACAGCTCACAGCAACCTCCAACTCCTGGGCTCAAGCGAGTCTCCTGCCTCTGCCTCCCAAGTAGCTGGGACCACAGGCGCCCGCCACAACGCCCGGCTATTTTTTGGTTGCAGCCGTCATTGTTGTTTGGCAGGTCCGGGCTGGGGATTCGAACCTGCCACCTTAGGTGTACGTGGCTGGCGCCTTAGCCGGTTGAGCTATAGGCGCCGAGCCCCAGCTAATTTTTTGTTGCAGTTTGGCAGGGGCTGGGTTCGAACCTGCCACTATTGGTATATGGGGCCTGTGCTTTACTCACTGAGCCACAGGAGCCTCTGTCTCCATAGATTTGCCCTCTTGGACATTTCTTCTGGACCTACATTGTCATTTTCCTGTATGGCTTCTTTCACTTAGCATAATGCTTTCTTTCATGGTTCATCCTGGTATCTCTCTTATTTTATTTAAATTTTTTTAATTAATTAATTAATTTTTTTTTTACTTTGTTGCCCTTGGTAGAGTGCTGTGCTGTCACAGCTCACAGCAACCTCCAACTCCTGGGCTTAGGCAATTCTCTTGCATCAGCCTCCAGACTAGCTGGGACTACAGGTGCCGGCCACAATGCCCGGCTATTTTTTTGTTGCAGTTTGGCCAGGGCCAGGTTCAAACCTGCCACCCTTGGTATATGGGGCCTGCGCCCTACTCACTGAGCCACAGGTGCTGCCCCTAAATTTTTTTAATTTTTCATTGTTATGGATATATGAGTTACATATTGTAGTATTTAATTTTTGCTGAATAATATTCCAGTGTACTTACAGATGTACCACATTTTGTTTATCCACTCACCAATTAATGGACTTGGATTGTATACAGTTTTTGTCAAATATGAATAATGCTGCAGTGAACATATCAACATATAACATGTTTTCATTCCCTGGGGCTACAGTGGTCATTGTAGCTCGCAGCAACCTCAAATTCCTGAGCTCAAGTGACAGCTGCCCACCTACACACCCAGCTAATTTTTCTATTTTTAGTAGAGACGGGGTCTTTCCCTTGCTGGAGCTGATCTCAGACTCCTGATGTCAAGCAACCCTCCCACTTCGGCCTCCCAGCGTGCTAGGCTTGCAGGTCTAAGCAGAACAAAACTTTATTTTTTAAAGGCTGTGTAGCATTTCCATTACTAGTTCTCTGCTGATAGACAATCAGGTTGTTTCCACGGGTGACTCTCTTTAAAAAGAAAAAAAAGCCCACTGTCATTCCTATTTTGCTGACGAAGACACCGAGGTCCAGAGAAGGGGGAAACGTCGTAAGTCACACTGAAAGCTACAGACTCAAGTTCCAGTTTCCCCGACTCTAACCAACTCTTCAACTGCCTAGCAGTCCACACAGCCATGGCCAGGAAAGCCGACAGCTAACCTTAGTTCCTGGATTATTCTTTGCCCCCAGAGGCTTCTGCAAACTGCTCGACATTGCAACACCACACCTCCGACCACAAAGGGCACTGTTGCCATTTCGATAGCATAGACTAGATCTTGTGGCGCTCATTTTTCTTCGTGCCCCCGAGGCACTTCCGGCCTTGACGGAACTTTGGTGCAGACGGATGCGCAGCGTGGGGACGCAGGCGCTGAAGGCGGCAGGAGTTGTTTCCGGCCGTGTTGGTGGTCTGTGCTGAGGTCCGCGGCAAAAGGAAAATGGAGACAATTCTGGAGCAGCAGCGGCGATATCATGAGGAGAAGGAACGGCTTATGGACGTTATGGCCAAAGAGATGCTCACAAAGAAGTCCACGGTGAGTGGGGTCTAGGCAGGGGCTCCTGTGAGGCTGGGCCCCTGTCCTGTTTAATCACTCTTCAGCTCTCAGGCCCTCCCTGCGCCCCGCCCCTTATCTTTTCCCAGGGCACCCTTTCCGACCTCCAGCCTTGGTAACCTCCTGGGACCTACAGTCCTAGAGGCTTCTGCTTCAGCCAGTAAAATCTAAAGGAGTAAACTCTGCCTTCGGGCGGCCTTTCCAACTCCAGAACTCAAAGTAACGGCGCCCGTGTCACCCTTTGCCTTTCTTTCAGCTCCGGGACCAGATTAATTCTGACCACCGCACTCGGGCTATGCAAGATGTGAGTGCCCCGCTATCTGCTTCTCTTTGGGTCTGGGAGGGCGCGAGAAGAGAGGGGAAGTGAGGTGCAGGATCTCTTCGTGAGCCCTGGGCAAAGGTAACTGGATTGATAAGTTGTTGATTATCTTCCTGAAAAGATGTCCAAAGAGCTGTCGAACATGAAGGTATCCTTCCTTGTCTCTTTGAATGGGAGGCTCTCTTATTCATTCTCTATTACTTGGAAAGATGTCCCATTTTGTAGCATCTTGTATCCCTTGAATGTGCAAAAAATAGTTTTGAGGAGTCCAAGAGTCGGGTGCAGAAGGTATAATCCCATCTCTTGAAAAAAGGAATGCTCTTTCTTAGTGTTTTCTCCCAGGACACTCTGGTTTTTTTTTTTTTT